ACTCAGGGTACATACATGTAGTGTGACAGAAGGGTTCACACACTCGGGGTACATAGTGTGACAGAAGGATTCACACGGTATATAGTGTGCCAGTCGGATCGACACACCAAGGGTACATAGTGTGACAGAAGTGTTCGCACACTCAGGGTACATACATGTAGTGTGACAAGGGTTCACACACTCGGGGTACATAGTGTGACAGAAGGGTTCACACACTCAGGGTACATACATGTAGTGTGACAGAAGGGTTCACACACTCAGGGTACATAGTGTGAAAGAAGGGTTCACACAGGGCACATTGTGTGACAAATATCCACACACACAGGGCACATAGTGTGACAGAAGTATCCACACACTCGGGGTACATAGTGTGACAGAAATATCCACACACAGGGCACATAGTGTGACAGAAATATCCACACACACAGGGCACATAGTGTGACAGAAGGGTTCACACAGGGCACATAGTGTGACAGAAGGGTTCACACAGGGCACATAGTGTGACAAGGGTTCACACAGGGCACATAGTGTGACAGAAGTATCAACACACTCGGGGTACATAGTGTGACAGAAGGGTTCACACAGGGGACATAGTCTGTCATAAGGCTTCTCACAGGATACATGGTGTGACATGGGGAATTTCATGTTGCACAATAATAATGGCCGTCATGGCAGCTATCATAATATGTCTGTCTGTTTTATATCTATTGTATTTGTTAAGTCATCCTACTTGAACCGGTCCCTATGCAGAGACGTAAGTAGATGTCTTGGGATCTCTCTAGTATTTTACTGGATGACTTGGAAGGTCATTATCTCTGCTTATGAAATATGCATACAGACTTTGTATGCCCCGAATAAATTTAGCTTTAGTAAAGGTTATCAGACTAATCAGACATCCACACCATCGTTGACAAGGTCGGCAGTTGAAACATCGTTTGACTTTGTGAAAGGTCAAAGTTGAACAAAGTTTAAAAAAGCAATGATCATAGGTATTGTTTGCAAATGACTCACTGTGTGTTTTACTTCTCTAAAGGAAGCGTATGTGGAAAACTCAAATTGTGACGTTTTGAAGGATTGATAACTGCCAATTATCATAACATTGCTGCTTTGAAGTTTCGCTGTCATTAAAACAGCTTCTATGCTTCGTATATCATTTCTTACGTTCAATCGCTACATTATAATGTTTATATTATATATTCATGAATTAGCTTAGCAGTAGAGGAGAACAAAATACACGAGTAAACTTTCCTCTTGTTCAAATGTAAAAAAAAAAAACAACCTTTGACTACGATTCAGCAATATTGTTTTACAATCAAGACTAATAGCGAGAAATAGGTACTTATTTGGCTGCTGGAGGGATTGTAACATATATGAAAACTTTGAGATTGATTTGACTAACAAGTGTCACGTGACCCATGGTTGCTCAGGTATGAAGGAAAAACTAGGTCAGGTTTGTAGGACGAAGAGATCAAAAATGGCAGGTTATTTGTTTTTGTTTAGCGGTCAATGACCCCAGGGAATCTCAAGCACGGGATATGTTGAGTGCCTAATATTTTGCCTATATATTCTAATATGCCTATACATGTATTTACCGTTATAAGTCCTTTTGATAATGTCAGTCCTCTACAACTTTGGCATTGCGGATGTGAAATAAATAGTCACCGTTTTATCACGACAATGTTGCTTACATCTCATTTAAAGAGGGCCGGTTAGTTAGTCCAGTGGTTAAAGCTGGGTTTGATTCATGGTGTCCCCCGCCGTGTTATGTCCATCATGTTGCTGAAGGAACGATCATTTGATATTTTCGAGGGAGGGTGGGAAGACATCGGGGCGATCATAGGTTTTTGGTTTGCCTGCCGGACCCAACCCTCCACGCATGCGCTATCCGTCTGTGTCTACATCACATTGCATACATTGCATTGCGTGTGATTTGGACATAAGATAAAAGAGATCGATGATTTTCAGAATACCAGTTTTACGTCATAGTGCTTCGAAGCACATGCCATTACAGATGTATTACCAGTTTAGATCTACCAATTTCCCATTCCCTTGTTTAAGTCCTCGGTACGATTAGTTTTTTGTCTTTTGATCTACAAACATCCTCGTGTATATCTTCTGTTAATGAGTAAGAAAACAGAAATATATCACCGAGGCAATTTACGAAAAGTAACATTTTAAAGTAATTTTTATTTTTTTTCATTTATTATAGCATGATAACGTATTCCAAACATTTTTCTGCTCTATGTCATCACACAGTTACTGAAAATGATAGGGTTAAATGAAAACGATTGTCAATGTATAGTTTTTTTTAAAGTTTTAGCTTCTAATCCTAATATGATTAGTCTATTGTGATGTTCTTAAGCCTCTTTGAACTATCGAAAAAAATAGGGTTAAATGAAAACGAAAGTCAATGTACAGTTTTATAAAGTTTTAGCTTCTAATCCTAATATGATTAGTCTATTGTGATGTTTTTAAGCCCCTTTGAAGTTCTTATCACAATTCGCTGTACAGTGTTACGTCCTTTAGGCAACCGTGTAAGACACCTATGATAGTGGGTTCGAATCCCGGGTCTTACTGATACCGGTTCTAGATTTGTCATACCCGTGCTCGTAGGTGTCATCAAAGTGGGAGACGTCGACGACCTGCATCACTTCGGTCTGTCCTCCCACATCAAGCCGACACGCTTCAAATGTGTTATTGCCATTGCATTATATCTAGAAGCCCTACGTAGAAGATAATAGGTCCTCAAAAAGACATAAATAGCCTTGTGCACAAAAGGACGCTTCCGAAGCTCTGCCGACTGCGCCGCAGGCTTTTATATGACACTAATATAGACAATAATTATACAGCCCTTAGTTCGCGGCCTATGGCTGTGTAAGTGCAGGTTTTAGAGCATAGTACACGCGCCTAAACTTCAGCTTCATATAATTAACTCAAGATGAAAAAAATGAAATGACATTCAGGTAGGTTCGACAGGAGTCTGGAGTAAGTAGTGTATGACTTAATGGCATCGAATAGTTATATAGGTCTGCCAGATGACAAACACCTGCTACGGTAAAAGAAGAGAAATTGCTAAGATGTCTAGATATTGCATTGTGATGCATGTATTGTCAATTTTAATCATTCTTCGACCGCTTAATGAAGCGATTCGTGTCTAACATGGCATAATATAGAAAGCCTCTATCGACCAATGCAAGCTGATGATTCAGAACAAGACGTTGGCAGATGTGTTCGGAGACACCCCACGCGCATGTTTTTATTCGACGTCGGGGAGCACCTTTAGAATACAGTACCACAACTTCTCGTGAGGACAATCTTTGCCGAAGGTCACATTATTTAGTCGGTGTACCTGGCAACAAAATAAATAGCACATTACGTCATAGTGTTTTGTGACGTGTTTGTGGTACTGTATTCTAAAGGGAGGCCAATTATACATGCCAAGCTACTTGTGTATATATGATGAATAATTAAAAATATATATATATAAATGTGCAGGGTGTTAGAGACTCGACGTAAACAGTCGTTGTACCTGGACATACGTGTATTTGCAGGATTGTAGAGACTCAACCTTTACAGTGTTTGTACCTGGACATGCCTGTATTTGCAGGATTGTAGAAACTCGACCTTTATAGTGTTTGTACCTGGACATGCCTGTCTTTGCAGGATAGTAGAGACTCGACCTTTATAGTGTTTGTAACTGGACATACGTGTATTTGCAGGATTGTAGAGACTCGATGTTAGCAGTTGTTGTACCTGGACATACCTGTATTTGCAGGATTATAGAGACTCGACCTTTATAGTGTTTGTAACTGGACATGCCTGTATTTGCAGGATTGTAGAGACTCGATGTTAGCAGTTGTTGTACCTAGACATTCCTGTATTTGCAGGATTGTAGAGACTCGATGTTAGCAGTTGTTGTACCTGGACATACCTGTATTTGCAGGATAGGAGAGACTCGATGTTAGCAGTTGTTGTACCTGGACATACCTGTATTTGCAGGATTGTAGAGACTTGGTGTTAGCAGTTGTTGTACCTGGACATACCTGTATTTGCAGGATTGTAGAGACTCCATGTTGGCAGTTGTTGTACCTGGACATGCCTGTATTTGCAGGATTGTAGAGACTCCATGTTGGCAGTTGTTGTACCTGGACATGCCTGTATTTGCAGGATTGTAGAGACTCGATGTTAGCAGTTGTTGTACCTGGACATGCCTGTATTTACAGGATAGGAGAGACTCGATGTTGGCAGTTGTTGTACCTGGACATGCCTGTATTTGCAGGATAGGAGAGACTCGATGTTGGCAGTTGTTGTACCTGGACATGCCTGTATTTGAAGGATTGTAGAGACTCGATGTTAGCAGTTGTTGTACCTGGACAATTTTGTGTGTTTGTGCACACTGTATAAAAAGTGTTAACTAAGCTTTTTAACGTTAATATGGTACAAAGTTCGTTGTAAGTCCTGGTGGCATATGTGTTATGTAAGTGCCTGTGTTTGTTTGTGTGTTTCTTGGTTAACACCAGGCAATCCAGTGATTGACATCATGAGCATCGGTCCACGCAATTGGGATACGGTGACATGCATCAACCAAGTCAGCGAGTCTGACCACTCGATCCCGTTAGTCGCCTCTTACGACATGGCAAGCATGGGTTGCTGAAGACCTATTCTATCTTCACGGGTGGAAAGTGCCTGTGAATATGATTTGCACATCTAATTTCAATAAATATTATACATTTTATCCATATTTGACTTAATGCCCAATAATATTCACTTTATTAAAACATGTATAAATTCTAAACATGTTTAAACTCTAACCATGTTTCGATTATAGGGATAGGGTTTTGATTGTGTTTTTTATTGTGTTCATGTGTTTTGACCCCGAGTGTGGTCAGGATTTATACACATTCCTAACCTTGATAAGATCTAAACATGTCTTGTATGTGTTTGTATTCTAAACACATTTAAACTGTGCAGGCTCTAATTGGGTCTGTATTATATTAAAGTGATGTATTTGCCCTTGTTTTAGGCACACACGATAACGGTGCGCGTCAAAGAAATCCGATCCCATCGACCAACGGGAGCTCGCAATCCGGGTCAGGTAACGGAGAGGATGATGACTCTGGTGAAGGGGTGGAGCTCCAGAAGAGCGTGGGACTCTTTAGTGGGATCACCCTTATTGTTGGGACCATGATAGGTAAACGCCATGATGTCAGATGTTTTGTATGACTGTAAATAATCGAGTCTGGACCCGATAATCCAATAATCGATATTTTGAGCAACAATCTACGCAATCAACTTATTGCAAGTCACCGAGCCTGACCACCAGGTAAAGAAATCGCTTCTTATGACAAAGTTGCTGGGTACCTATTCTAACCCGAAATTCATACGGGGTCAAAATAACATGATATTGTAGACATGAACATTTTGTATGGATAACAACCTCGAGCTCTTATTTGTTCGTAACGACATTACTTCTTGTCCCGTCATCAGATGAATACTGAGTAAGCGCGTGTAAGTTAATATATCCCATTGGATTCCCACTTATTTGGTTATCTTTGCATATTAATCAGTAATCACCTGATGACGTTAAAGTTGTTACAGTAAACTACGGTTATAGCGAACACGCTTATAACGAACTGACGGATATAACGAACTTACTTTTTGGTCCCGACTACTTGCTGTAGTCATGCTGTATATGTACTTATAACGAACTACGGTTATAACGAGCTAAAATTAGTAGTCCTGTTGAGTTCGTTATAACCGTAGTTTACTGTATTCATGACACGTTTCATGCCTCCTCTCAATTTCTCTATTTCTTGTGTCCCTTCCGTACTATTGCCGGAATATTGCTAAAAACGGCGGAAAACCACACTCACTCACTCACTTCCAATATAAATGCCTATCACATATATGATATTGAACATTACATCGAGTTCGCCAGGGTGAAAACTGAGGGGTCAAATGACAGGAGGAGGCTGGTTTGATCCTGTGCCCTTGGTCAAAGTCATTCTTTGAGGCCCTTAGTCGTGCATGGTCATTGGTGGTTCAAATCCAGATCCTGTCTTATAATGATCCTTGGTTTGTCATTACCATATCCATGTTCTCGGGGTTTATCAGATAGATAAACATGTACGATGTGTGGTACACTGCAGTAAAACTAGCCCACTTATTCCTGAAATCTGCACTTCCTTCAAAAACGTCAAACGTCCCTGACGCATTTCGGTACAAGATATCTTCTCAAAATAATACGAACCGTTTCTTTAATCCTTTTCTTTTCACACAACGAAATTCTTTAAAGAAAACATGTGATAGGACAAGTTCAGAATGTATTACGATTATTATTATTAAGACAGTTTGTCTTACATTTGCATTTCTTCGTCTAGGTTCGGGTATATTCGTGTCTCCCCGTGGCGTTCTCATTGGCTCGGGGTCGGTCGCAATGAGTCTCATTGTGTGGGCAGGGTGCGGAATTCTAGCCATGATGGGTAAGTGGTGGTGCAAGGGCCAATGGCAGTCGCTTTCCCGTGTAAATAAGGAACCGCATTTAATATCCCAAACTGGCTGCCACAGGAGACATCGCTTGACTGGCACCAATCGATGTATTATAAGAGATAGTGCTACAATGAAATTGTATCTCATCGGCTACCATGATATCACAATTAAATGACATCACTATTCTCTCTGCCACGAAAGACGGTTAGCGGTACAATTAACGCTCAAGACACTGGATATTACATAGAGAATCTCACCCGAGTGTCTTTTGATATCAAATATATCATGACTTTTTCCACTTTTCAACGAATGTTGATATATTTTATATGAAAAGCCACGAGGGTGAGATTATATTTATCATCCAACAGTGGCAGAGCCATTAGTGATGTCATTTGATTGTGACATCATGGTAACCAATGACGTCACAATGGTCTGCAAAGCATTGTGATGCAATTTCATTGCAGCGATATCTACAATGTAGATATCGTTTGATCTCACCTAAGCGATATCTCCTGTTGGAGTCAGTTTTGGATGATAATATTTATTAACTGAAGAAGTTTAACTAGAATCTCACATTTGTGTCTTTTGATATTAAATATATCAAGACTCGTTGATAAAAGTATAAAATAAAAGAAATACCATCGGCAAGCCTCGGATACTTGTAACTTGTCGTCTTGATACATGTGATCTCGGAAGAAACTCTGCTGGGATTATCTATACGTATTCATGGGATTGAATGTGTATACTTTCATTTACAGGTGCTCTCGTATATGCCGAGTTGGGTACGGCCATTGTTAAATCCGGCGCCGAGCATGCCTACCTACTGCATACGTTTAAGCCAATGAGCAAATGTTGGGGACAGGTGCCTGCCTTTCTGGTAGCTTGGCTCGGTATCTTCATCATCAGACCGTCCATGTTTGCTATCATGGTGCTCAGTCTCGGGACGTACGCAACCCAGCCCTTCTACACGCCGTGTGAAGCCCCGCTCCTTGTCAAGAAACTCGTAACATGTGCAGCTATGTGTAAGTAAACGACAACCTTATCGTCATTTATGTCTACAAGCCCGACCTCTGTCACAGGTCTGTCCCTATTAATTTGTACTCAGTATAAGCCTTAAGAGGGCCTCGCTTGCCGTCAGTGAAGGTACGAGGCACCTAAAGTCGATCGGGATCCCAGAGAGGCCCAGCTTGACGTCAGTGAAGGTGTAGGTCACCAAAGGTAGGCCTCCACAGGTTTCAGAAGACAAACAGAAGTACTTCAAGAGGACAACTCCCCCCCCCCCCCCCCCCCCCCACACACACACACACTTGGTTCGCTAGGAGTTTGTTCTCATTGTATGTAGAATAACTACGGTAACCACTACCTTCCCTAGCTTCAAGAACCTCAACCCCCATTTATACTGAAGGATGGTTCCTTGTTGTCATTTAACTGTCATTAACAAAATCTGTGAGATTATCCATGGGAATTTGTTCAATGCCTCCTCAATGGTTTCCATGGCGACATTTTACGTCCTATCAAACCTATAAAGGCGCTTTGAAGTTTTTAACGAATTTATTCATTAACAAAATGGTGGAAGGATGAGGTAGTCATTAGAAGCCGAGCATCATTCATTTAGATATAAATTATTTGCAATTGAATCCCTGCTTTGATTGGCTAAGCAAGCAAATTTCGCTTGCGTTTCCATAAACCGAAAATATACTTAGACCACGTCTGCTAATGGACTAGTTTCCTGATTGGCTGATAACAGAATGGGCGGGGCTTGTGTTGCATGAGGCCACTGATTTTGTACTGTTTCTATAGTTTCGTTTATGTCACTGATTAAACAAGTAGTCTGTGCACATCGCTGTTATGTTTATACATCCATAAACGCAAACTAAATACTAATAAACTAGCACGCCTACCGGAGGTAAAACAATTGTAATGGATGACACACATGTAGCGCCTATGTCACCAGACTCCAGTAGTGCCATCAGTAGGATTGCCAACACGGTTAGGGTAGAACATATTGCCAAAACAAAAAGTTTAATTGCGAAAATAAGTGAGCTTGAACCTCTAACCATAATCTTCTTACGATGACTTATTGTTATCGAAGTAGGTGACAGGTGCCCAACGGACACCATATTTAATTGTACGTAGAAACGTTCTTGGTAAAAATGTCAATGTTTACATTTCTCGAGACCCGTGAAGATCCGGGGTGGAATTGGTCTTCAGCAACCCATGCTTGCCGTGAAAGGCGACTATGCTTGTCATAGGAGGCGACTAACGGGATCGGGTGGTCAGGCTCATGCATGTCAATGTATCCCAATTGCATGGATCGATGCTCATGATGTCAATCAATCGATTGCTTGGTCCAGACTCGATTATATACAGACCTCTGTCATATAGCTGGAATATTGCTGAGTGCGGCGTTAAACAACAAACAACTAAACAAACGTTTCTCAAATTTCTAAATCAAACAACCACATAATTTGCAAATAGATCTGAATAAACTGTGTCAGCAGTGAGTTTTGTTACTCCAAATTGAAAGCTCAATGCAAGTTGCTGGTGGTTTATTAGTCCGATTCCCTAAGCTTTCAAATATTTCATTTATGGCATATCGCTTCTCAGATATTTGCAGGCTTGGAATATTTCCCATTGAACACTTTAGGATACCAATGATGGAATGCGGACATCTAAAATATAATAGAGATTTTATTATACGCCATAATATTCCATGGGAAGGTTAAATAACAAGGAGAGTAATTCCTGAAATATGCCAGTCACACATACCGCTTTAAACACAGTCATGATCGATACCGACAAAAAGAAAGGTTATATGAATGACTTGCATTATCTGTGTGTTAATTGTAGTAATGCGGACCAAGCATCGCAATGAGGTCATCGCGCAAACGGAACATATCCATCCTATACACAATCAAGAACTGGAAATCCTGAAATCTTGTTCCGTTGATCTTCTGCTGTGTCTGTATTAGATATTTTCGCTGTTATAATTTCAGTGTTAATCCTGCTGATAAACTGCGCCAGCGTTAAAGTGGCAACCAAAGTCCAGAACATTCTGACCGGAAGTAAATTGGTCGCCATTGCCATTATATCCATTGGGGGGATCTACAAGATATCTACAGGTGAGAAGGAGTCAATACCTGGCGATTGAGAGGTTAAGGTGAGGTGAAATGGAGTTTTACGTCGCGTTCAAGATGATTGTACTTATATAGCGACGTGCATGCACGTGTGTGTCTCTGTGTGTGGCTGCTTGTACTAGTCTGAACAAATGCCAATTTTATAGTGCTAGCACTCTGAGATACCATGCTGCAGTTAAACATAAATACGCCAATCAGAAACAGTAAACTGACTCTGAGCTGACCAGCCTTGTTTTAGACCCTTACTGCCGAGCGCCAGGCAGGGTTATAACAAGTGCCATCTTTTAACGTCTTTTGGCATGACGCGGTCGAGGATCGAACCCCGACCTTCCGCTCTCCGGGTAGACTTTCTACCACTAGACCATGGAGGCGGTCCTTCCGGACGATTACTCCTGGGTACACTTACGTGTATACAATGTAACTTTATTCCGTTAACAGCATTCGTTAATCCGGATAGATAGTTCCAATGGAAACGCTACCTTTGTGATTAATGAAATTTCACTGTATATCAAACACATAATATATCGGTAAATTGAGCAAACTTCACTTTTCGGCTTATTTCATCCTCAGAGGATCTTGCATCTGTGAACATGTGTAATCTTTGTTCGTCCTTCGAGTGTAATGGTAATGGCTCTTGAGCGCCACATGTGATAATTAGGAGGAAAGGTCCAAGGACCAGGTTGGGCATAGACACGGTTCATTGACACAGTGGCTTTCCAGGTACCAGGCAACTGCAGCTTGTACAATATTTGTACAATTTGTAACAACCTGGAAGGTTATACAATTTGAAAACCACTGGAAGGTTATGAAATCTGCCGTACGTTGGAAGCTATAACGATCTGTCTTACACTGGAAGGTTATAAAATCTGCCATACACTAGAAGCTAAAACTATCTGTAGTACACTGGAAAGTTATAAAATCTGCCGTATGTTGGAAGCTATAACGATCTGTCTTAAACTGGAAGGTTATAAAATCTGCCGTATGTTGGAAGCTATAACGATCTGTAGTACACTGGAAGGTTATAAAATCGGCCGTATGTTGGAAGCTATAACGATCTGTAGTACACTGGAAGGTTATAAAATCGGCCGTATGTTGGAAGCTAAAACGAGCTGTAGTACACTGGAAGGTTATAAAATCTGCCGTATGTTTGAAGCTAAAACTATCTGTAGTACACTTGAAGGTTATAAAATCTGCCGTATGTTGGAAGCTAAAACGATCTGTCTTACACTGGAAGGTTATAAAATCTGCCGTATGTTGGAAGCTATAACGATCTGTAGTACACTGGAAGGTTATAAAATCTGCCGTTTGTTGGAAGCTATAACGAGCTGTAGTACACTGGAAGGTTATAAAATCTGCCGTATGTTTGAAGCTAAAACGATCTGTCTTACACTGGAAGGTTATAAAATCTGTCGTATGTTGGAAGCTATAACGATCTGTCTTACACTGGAAGGTTATAAAATCTGTCGTATGTTGGAAGCTATAACGATCTGTCTTACACTGGAAGGTTATAAAATCTGCCGTATGTTGGAAGCTATAACGATCTGTAGTACACTGGAAGGTTATAAAATCTGTCGTATGTTGGAAGCTATAACGATCTGTCTTACACTGGAAGGTTATAAAATCTGCCGTATGTTGGAAGCTATAACGATCTGTAGTACACTAGAAGGTTATAAAATCTGTCGTACGTTGGAAGCTAAAACGAGCTGTAGTACACTGTAAGGTTATAAAATCGGCCGTATGTTGGAAGCTAAAACGAGCTGTCGTACACTGGAAGGATATACGATTCGCGAATCGTTGGAAAGGTATTCAGATTGTAATACGTTGGAAACTTATTCTGTGTATAATTCACTTGAACCCTTTACAGTGTGTAATTCCCTGGAAGGTTACCAAATTTGTAATTCATTGGAAAATTATATTGTCTGAAATGCACTGGACCTTATACAATCTGTAATACACTGGAAAGTTATAAAATTTGAAATTCACGGGAACTTATACAGTGTATAATTCATTGGGAACATATACAGTGTGTAATTCATTGGGAACATATATAGTGTGTAATACCCTGGGAACATATATAGTGTGTAATACCCTGGGAACATATATAGTGTGTAATACCCTGGGAACATATATAGTGTGTAATACCCTGGGAACATATATAGTGTGTAATACCCTGGGAACATATATAGTTTGTAATACCCTGGGAACATATATAGTTTGTAATACCCTGGGAACATATATAGTGTGTAATACCCTGGGAACAAATACAGTTTGTAATACCCTGGGAACATATATAGTGTGTAATACCCTGGGAACATATATAGTGTGTAATACCCTGGGAACATATATAGTGTGTAATACCCTGGGAACATATATAGTGTGTAATACCCTGGGAACATATACAGTTTGTAATACCCTGGGAACATATATAGTGTGTAATACCCTGGGAACATATATAGTTTGTAATACCCTGGGAACATATATAGTGTGTAATACCCTGGGAACATATATAGTGTGTAATACCCTGGGAACATATATAGTTTGTAATACCCTGGGAACATATATAGTGTGTAATACCCTGGGAACAAATATAGTTTGTAATACCCTGGGAACATATATAGTGTGTAATACCCTGGGAACATATATAGTGTGTAATACCCTGGGAACATATATAGTGTGTAATACCCTGGGAACATATATAGTTTGTAATACCCTGGGAACATATATAGTGTGTAATACCCTGGGAACATATATAGTGTGTAATACCCTGGGAACAAATACAGTTTGTAATACCCTGGGAACATATATAGTGTGTAATACCCTGGGAACATATATAGTGTGTAATACCCTGGGAACATATACAGTTTGTAATACCCTGGGAACATATCCAGTTTGTAATACCCTGGGAACATATATAGTGTGTAATACCCTGGGAACATATATAGTGTGTAATACCCTGGGAACATATATAGTGTGTAATACCCTGGGAACATATACAGTTTGTAATACCCTGGGAACATATACAGTTTGTAATACCCTGGGAACATATATAGTGTGTAATACCCTGGGAACATATATAGTGTGTAATACCCTGGGAACATATATAGTGTGTAATACCCTGGGAACATATATAGTGTGTAATACCCTGGGAACATATATAGTGTGTAATACCCTGGGAACATATATAGTGTGTAAAACCCTGGGAACATATATAGTGTGTAATACCCTGGGAACATATATAGTGTGTAATACCCTGGGAACATATATAGTGTGTAATACCCTGGGAACATATATAGTTTGTAATACCCTGGGAACATATATAGTGTGTAATACCCTGGGAACATATACAGTTTGTAATACCCTGGGAACATATATAGTGTGTAATACCCTGGGAACATATATAGTGTGTAATACCCTGGGAACATATATAGTTTGTAATACCCTGGGAACATATATAGTGTGTAATACCCTGGGAACATATACAGTTTGTAATACCCTGGGAACATATATAGTGTGTAATACCCTGGGAACATATAAAGTGTGTAATACCCTGGGAACATATATAGTGTGTAATACCCTGGGAACATATATAGTGTGTAATACCCTGGGAACATATATAGTTTGTAATACCCTGGGAACATATATAGTGTGTAATACCCTGGGAACATATATAGTGTGTAATACACTGGGAACAAATACAGTTTGTAATACACCGAGGCTATTTTATGTGTCGAGTGAAATATCATGTTTCTCTCATCGAGTGACTGGTTGAGAGAAATATGATTTTTCATTTGACACATTGAATTTCCTATTTATTATATACTTTTTGTGTAGTTGTCTACCGGAAAATTATTTTTCTGCATTACAAATGTAAAACCTTGAGATTTCAATTCTCCCTACCTAACACGCATTGACTTTCCATCACCCTTGTAATATCGACTTAAAAAGTAGTTTCGAGATTGCAAAATCTTTAACATAATAATAAAAATAATAAACACATATTTGAAGTCAGTAATTCTTTATCATACATTTGATATAATTATATACAAAATCAACATCAGCAGAAAAGCTACGAGACAAAAGCTGGGAACTTATACAGTGTGTAATAGACTGGGAACGTATACAGTGTGTAATACACTGGAAACTTATACAGTGTGTAATACACTGGAAACTTATACAGGGTGTAATACACTGGAAACTTATACAGTGTGTAATACACTGGGAACTTATACAGTGTGTAACACACTGGGAACTTATACAGTGTGTAATACACTGGAAACTTATACAGTGTGTAATACACTGGGAACTTATACAGTGTGTAATACACTTGGAACTTATACAGGGTGTAATACACTGGAAACTTATACAGTGTGTAATACACTGGAAACTTATACAGTGTGTAATACACTGGGAACTTATACAGGGTGTAATACACTGGGAACTTATACAGTGTGTAATACACTGGGAACTTATACAGTGTGTAATACACTGGGAACTTATACAGGGTGTAATACACTGGGAACTTATACAGTGTGTAATACACTGGGAACTTATACAGGGTGTAATACACTGGGAACTTATACAGTGTGTAATACACTGGGAACTTATACAGGGTGTAATACACTGGAAACTTATACAGGATCAGCAGCCAACCCTAACGCCTTATTGTCATGATAATGTAGAAACTACACTGAATGATTTTGTATGATTAATATTAGATGCAGCTAATCGTATAAACAGACTTCAATGTGAACGCCAGTCACCCATATCATTGAGTTTACATAACCCAACTCGAGGCGAGGAGGGCATTAGGAGTGAGTGAAAGAGTTGGGTTTAACAACACTTTTCACAGTATTCTAGTTATATCACGGCGTGTCAGCTTAATGTGGGAGGGAAGCCTGAAGTGATAAAGGTCTCAGACGTTGTGACGTTAACCTAATTCACAGACACCATGTATCGAACGTTGCTTCAAAATATCAAAGTGCACTGTCTACCCCAAAACCTGCAATTACATATGACATGCCTTTAGGTGTGCCTGTTGAAATGACAGTGTGTGCAATAAAGTAAACAGTATTTCGACAAGGAGCATATATGCGTGTTTTGTCAAAAAATTGGACGTCTACACTATTTGATAGTTCAAGATACATGTATGTCATTTACAGATATTTATATACTAGCCAATCATACAACAAAAAAGTACCATCAACTTTAAATAGTAAAAAAAATGAGAATACTTTGGTTAGGTTTAGACTAGATAGAACGATAGAAGAGAAATAAAATTCAACATTGGATGAAGACGGCCGCTGCCAAATTATTTGAGACCTCAGATTTTAATCCCTTCTGAACCTGTCATTGAGGTGATCAATAGTTTATACTCCACATATGTGTGAATCCTAAAATAATTTATAGAAAAATCCACCCCCGTTAAGTCGTTTCAGGGGCGGTGGAGTAGCCTTGAGATTTAAGTGTTCGCTCGGGGTCGATTCCCCACATGGGTACACTGTGTCAAGTCCATTTCTGGTTTCCCCAATGATACAGCTTGGATATCGCTAAAAGTGGCGCAAATGCTATTAATTTCAGTGATCATATATGCTGGGAGCATACCGGTCTCCAGAATAAAGCGCGATGCTTTCCAGAGCACACACTCTGAATATCTATATGAAGGAAATGCCATCCCTTTGCCATAAACCCACGAAGAGTAATTTAGAAGGCTGTCAGCTACACGTATTCGATGTTAATTGCATGTTAGACGTGGCGACCATGACGTATAGCAACATATGTCTAACGTGCCAGTGACGTGTATTCCGCCATCATGGTGACAGTATATTACTCTCGGCGTATTTCAGCCGTGTAGCACGTGGTAGCGAAACGCGATAGCACTGGACGCACTTGCAGGTAGTTGGGTCTGTCAGCCGAGAAATATCACATGTCCAACTTTGGGTCGCTTTTACTTTCCTGGTCACCTGTGGGTCAATTGTCCAACAATTGATAACTGATAGCCGGATCATAAGATCCATGTATGATAAGATCCCATGGTTGACAGGGAATTTTGAATAAGGCGATGATAGTCGGTAGGATGAAAAAGCCAGGTAATCTGCTCTAGATACAACGATGTCACATACCTGCTGGCACAGGAAATTGATATCATTATGTAGATACTAAATAATGGCATAAAGCAATCATTTTCACATTAATTGGTGAAACTGGACATTTAGATGCGTTCTTCAATGACATAGTACATACCTCACACACGGGTGAATACAATCGTCTTCTCCCAGTCCTTATATAGAAATTGTATCCCTTTTCACTCCTCTAACCTTTGAGGAGTTCCTTCTCTAATCTCAATTATATTTGCTTTGTGAATAATAAATCTTTTTACACTGTAAGTTGTGGCAGGATGAAGAGGGGTGTATGGGGTATTATGCGTCCCGCGTAAGGTTTAATAGCACGAGCCGGTTATTACCCTCCAAGGCGGGTGACACAGTGTTTTATCGAAATTGTATCCCTTTTAACTCCTCTATGATATACAACAGGTTCTACCATAAACTTAAATGCCGAGTATAAATCATATCTACTCCTTGATTGTAGACTACCTAACCACTCTTGAGGTAACATATCGCTAACTCTTTGTTTGAAATCCACCAGAAATAGTTGAACGCTGCCCACTCTCCTGGAAGCAAAACCAAATCTAAACTGGACAACACATTCTTGACATAAGCACAATCCAAGACATAAAGTATATCATATGCCTTAGTAGTATATCTATTGCTGGGCATATGTATAAAGCGAACTAATCCAAAACTAAATACACCTTAGCAAAGAATTATAATGTTTAGGGTATCTTCCACATTCTCCCAAATCACAGCATTTGGAGTTATATTACTCATATGCCGTAAATGTTTACAAGCAATACATTGTAGAAAATGTATTCAGATCCTAAACACAAACCTAAACAAGTTACTTATTCCATACTTTTCTAGTTTAGGTCAAAACATGTTTAGGATTGTGTTTAACAGGTAAAGGTGTTCAGGGTTTAAATGTGGGAAAGACCCGTACACCCGCATTGAGACCTTGATACTATACCTCCATTGTAGGTAATTATACGCGCTTTCAATGGCTTTTAGCGTTAAATGGGGATGCAGAAGTAGGGGGTGTAATTAAAAAAATTAAGGATCTATCGTAGTAATCAGACATACTTTCATTATCAGCTTCAGTTTCCTGAATGAGACAAATACTAATATTAATACAGCAACATTTATAAACACAACACTAAACCAAAACACACAAAACCTCGGCGGGATACGAACCTGCATCGTTTGTAATCCTTCACGCTACCACCTGTGCTACGGAGACAATTTTCCTTGTCACCATAAACCTTGCTATTTGTACATGTTTATTTTAACATTGTACCAAGTTTGTTGGTCGTATTTGTGTGATGCACTTACCTGTGACTCTGATTTGCAGACCTAATTTCAATATATATTATACATCTTATCCATATATACATATTGCATAATGATATGCATTTTATTCAAACATGTTTAAATTCTAAACATGTTTAAAGGAGTTTAAATTCTAAACATGTTTAGATTATGGGATGGTGTGCTCAGGTGGTGTTTAGGCTGTGTGTCGACTCCAAACGAATTTAGCTAGAACACACCAAACGTGTTTTCCGTTTTGGATTTAAACAAATTTCTAAACGTGTTTGGATCTAAACATGGCTTGTATATGTTAACATTCTAAACACATTTTACCAGAAGAGTAAACTTGGCATTATTTGAATCAGAAAAGAAGTAAATAATGTATGGAAATTGGTTATAACAATACATCGTATTGAGCATATCAAGTAATGCTTCCCTGGCCTTTAAATTAATGTCAACTGTTTTCTGCAGCAGTTCACGTCTATTACACGAATGTTAACTGTTTGCTTCAGCAGGTCACGTCTATTACACGAATGTTAACTGTTTGCTGCAGCAGGTCACGTCTATTACACGAATGTTAACTGTTTGCTGCAACAGGTCACGTCTATTACACGAATGTTAACTGTTTGCTGCAACAGGTCACGTCTATTACATGAATGTTAACTGTTTGCTGCAGCAGGTCACGTCTATTACACGAATGTTAACTGTTTGCTGCAGCAGTTCACGTCTATTACACGAATGTTAACTGTTTACTGCAGCAGGTCACGTCTTTTTCACGAATGTTAACTGTTTGCTGCAGCAGTTCACGTCTATTACACGAATGTTAACTGTTTGCTGCAGCAGTTCACGTCTATTACATGATTGTTAACTGTTTGCTGCAGCAGGTCACGTCTATTACACGAATGTTAACTGTTTCCTGCAACAGGTCACGTCTATTACACGAATGTTAACTGTTTGCTGCAACAAGTCACGTCTATTACACGAATGTTAACTGTTTGCTGCAGCAGTTCACGTCTATTACACGAATGTTAACTGTTTGCTGCAGCAGGTCACGTCTATTACACGAATGTTACCTTTTTTGCTGCAACAGGTCACGTCTATTACACGAATGTTAACTGTTTGCTGCAACAGGTCACGTCTATTACACGAATGTTAACTGTTTGCTGCAACAGGTCACGTCTATTACACGAATGTTAACTGTTTACTGCAGCAGGTCACGTCTATTACACGAATGTTAACTGTTTGTTGCAACAAGTCACGTCTATTACATCAATGTTAACTGTTTGCTGTTGCAGGGAACGCGTCTTATATCGCCGAGGGCTTCCAGGACACAGAGAGCAACCCGTCCATCATCGCACTGGCTTTCTACAACGGCTTGTGGGCATATGACGGATGGTGAGGTGCAAACGTTGCTTCCGTTCACAATATCACGGTATAGTGTAACATATTGACACACGTGGGGACAGCATTACGAAAAATACCCTGGATCTCTTCTCTACCGAGTAAAATTCGAAAAGCATTACGCTAAAAACAGTCAAATTATGAACGAGAGAAATTCTGTGAAATAAACGATATGATCATGACGGATTGGGGTGGTGACGTTACTTCACTTCCGAACTGAAGCTGGGGTGACGAATAGGGGTAGTGGATATTTATCATAATGAATGAAGATAGAAGGGGCTGTCATGTATTACATGGGGTGGTGGTTCAGAGCTTTTTTATGTATTATTAAATAGTAACCTTCCCCTAATGCTTGTCATATTTTTGGATGACCCACTTCATGTCGCTTTACATTTATCCCTCCCTCCCTCATATATAATTATGTATACTATTTTAAGACCCTACCATAGAAACGGTCATATTTTTTGGTGACCCTACCTCCATTCCATCTGACCCTAGTTCCCTATTATAAATAACCGGTCCATAATACGGGATAATCGGTGAGAAGGAATGTATACAAGTCTGTCGTAGTGAGATATGAGAAACTTCCTGATATTGTCAGACGAAAATTACAAGTTTGTTTGTTTGTTTGTTGTTTAAAGCCGCGCTCAGCAATATTCCAGCTATATTACGGCGGTCTGTAAATAACCGAGTCTGGACCAGACAATCCAGTGATTGACATCATCAGCATCGACCCACGCGATTGGGATACGATGACATGCATCAACAAAGTCAGCGAGCCTGTCCACCCGATCCCGTTAGTCCCCTCTCACGACAAGCATAGTCGCCTTTTACGGATGGGTTGCTGAAGACCTATTCTACCCCGGATCTTCACGGGTCGAAAATTACCAGTAGGAATGTTGGCACCTGAGCTCTGCGTTCAGTACATACCTTGGGAAGTTATTTCCCCAGAGCTAGTACCGAGAAGGTTCCGGGAAGAATAGGAACGTATCAATCGATCAATGTTTATTGTGTCAAGGCCAACTGATCAATAATCCGCACCATCACAATAGTCAAATCTTGTAGCACATACACTTTTACATCACATCACCACGAATTGTTAAGGGCATGTAGATATTTTCCTAACATGAATAATCAATCAGTGTTTGCAAACAGGGTACAGCCATATTACCTATTGTAATTGTCAGGAGTTCGCAACAGCCTGGTTCCCTGCGTATGCTGCGCTGGAGCTACATTGGGCGCAGCATACCCAGGGAACCAGGCTGAAGTTCGTAATTATTCATTATAATGGGCTATGAAGAAGAATATGTTCTTCATCTTTAATGACGTTACACAATGAGACAATCAGACAATCCAGGATTGCCATCTTGAACATCGATCCACGCAGTTGGGACACGATGACACGCAATAAAACACCGGTCCATTTAGTCGCCTCTTTTCGACAGGCACTGGTTGCTGGGTCCTATGCATTTACCCACATTCCCACGTATGAAGAGCCCTTAAAACCTACAGTGGTCTAAAGATTACAAAATTCCTGAGTGGGCGGAACTTAAATGACAATAAACTACATGTTATAAACCTGGTGTGCAGGTGTGCAGGTGTGTTGCGAATGAAACAGCCGAGACGGCGATGCGTTCGTTAGACGTCAACTAGTTTTGTGGAAGATAGTGTCACGTGATCACATAAGCTCCTCCCATTCATTGTACACTTAAGACCATTATAGGTTTGAGGGCACAACACACGTACTGGCTCTTTAGTGGGAATTTCACCTTGATCTATGGCTGGCGAGAAGGGAAGGTGTGAAGTGTCTGTTTCAGCGTGTCATCTTGTTAAACAACGCTCGAACTATTAACAGCTCCCATTCATCATGTCATACACTACTGGCATCTGGCATATGAACATGATGTCCACAGACATCAGAGCCCACTCAGGACATTCACCGCAAATAAAATAGATAGTTTACGTGCGCTTCAAGTTTAAGAATGGATGTTGTAGGTTGCTGAAGACCCATTTTACTCCGGATCTTCACGGGTTTTAAGAATAGATGAAAATTCGGAAAACGTTGAACATGTTCATAGTATCCTATATATATCTAAATAAACACATCCATTTTCAGGAATAACCTCAACTTTGTCACGGAGGAATTAAAGAATCCACGAAGGTATGCGGTTTATCTGAGTAACTATATATAGCTGACAATCGTAAGCAAGGGGGATTTATTGTGCCACATGTTTAACACACTTCAATTTATCTTTCAGTAACTGTTAAAACTATATCCATGTGATATTCGTAACATTTCTTTTGTGGCGTCACTTTTATAGTGTCACGGTGTGCACAGTACATATAACGTTCTTTTGCACAGGCAAAAATGCAAAACTCAGATACTCCATGACACAGCACAGCTTAAAGTGTGAAAACATATATAATATAATATGATATTTTTTACAGTGTGGAATATGTTTGAGAGACTGATATTTCTCATGCGGTAACCATAGAACATTCCGAGCAAGAGTACATATGGGTGATATGACGCATTTAATGGAATAGGACGAACTAACATGAAATAAAGTATGCAACTAACTTCTTAATAACCAGCGAGACTCTTTCTTATTAACGTATTCATTCATATCCATTCATAAATTCATAGATTAAGGTTAAACGTCGCCTCCAAGATTATTGCACATATATAGCGACGTGCATGCACCTGTGTGTGTGTGTGTGTGTGTGTGTGTGTGTGTGTGTGTGTGTGTGTGTGTGTGTGTGAGAGACTGTTTTTACTAGTCCGGACTGATGCCGATTTATAGTGCTAGCCCACTGAGATACCATGCCGCAGTTTAAACATGGACCCCCCCTTTCAGTCGACCAGTCCTTGTTTTATCCCCTTAATGCCGAGCGCCAGACAGGGTAACAACAAGTATCTTCTTTAAACGTCTTTTGGTGTGACGCGGCCGGGGATCGAACCTCGTACCTTCAGCTCTCCGGGCGGACGCTCTACCACTAGACCACGGAGGCGGTCCCCTGGCGATTGAGAAACCATATCAGCCTGTCGTTAGCGTTTTCAGTTTAACCGTGAATGTGAATAATCAGGGGATCAAGGGGCAAAAAAGGAAATACCACCTTACAGGGAAGGATCCCCGGGAGTCCAAACCGACCCTGTGTGTATAGTTGTCTCCAGGAACCAATGTTGGTGACCTGTGGATCTATGTCTCCAGGAACCACTGTTAGCGACCTGTTGATATATGTCTCCAGGAACCGATGTTTGTGACCTATGTCTATATGTCTCCACGAACCAATGTTAGCGACCTGTGTATATATGTCTCCAGGAACCACTGTTGGCGACCTGTTTATATATGTCTCCAGGAACCACTGTTAGCGACCTGTGTATATATGTCTCCAGGAACCACTGTTAGCGACCTGTGTATATATGTCTCCAGGAACCACTGTTAGCGACCTGTGTATATATGTCTCCAGGAACCACTGATGGCGACCTGTGTATACATATCTCCAGGAACCACTGTTAGCGACCTGTGTATACATGTCTCAAGGAACCACTGTAAGTGACCTGTGTATACATGTCTCCAGGAACCACTGTAAGTGACCTGTGTATACATGTCTCCAGGAACCAATGTAAGTGACCTGTGTATACATGTCTCCAGGAACCACTGTTAGCGACCTGTGTATACATGTCTCCAGGAACCACTGTTAGCGACCTGTGTATACATGTCTCCAGGAACCAATGTAAGTGACCTTTGTATACATGTCTCCAGGAACCACTGTAAGTGACCTGTGTATACATGTCTCCAGGAACCAATGTAAGTGACCTGTGTATACATGTCTCCAGGAACCACTGTTAGCGACCTGTGTATACATGTCTCCAGGAACCACTGTAAGTGACCTGTGTATACATGTCTCCAGGAACTAATGTTAGCGACCGTGTGTATAAAAATGTCCACAGAAACCATTGTCAGCATTTAGTAGAAATTCAGGTCACTGTTTCAGAAATCTGCCTCTAGCCATTATATTTGGTATTCCGCTGACGACGATATGCTACGTCCTCGTCAACATAGGCTACTTTAGCGTCATCTCGAAGGAGGAAGTCCTGCTCATTGATGCCGTGGCAGTGGTAAGTCCATGTACACGTATGTTGTTAGAATTGATATCGAATTTGTAGTGGTAGACGAAGTGTAGGAACCACTTTTAATACTCAAGCTGATACTGGTCGAGTCACCACAACCAAACTTAGCGACCTTTACTGAAACACAAAAACCCACTGTGTGACACGAATAGCTCCCTTCATAAGACTTTTAGTCTGCTTGGATGTGGTTGCGTGTGTAAATTAAAGTGTCAGCTTCAGTTCATACACTGTAAAAGATTATTAGAAATGGGTTTCAGTTCTAAACGGAATACACATTTAGTGTGTTTTGTCTTAACGCATTTAGGTCTATGAGCTATCGTCTCACAGCTTAAACACAACCTAAACACAACAGCCCCATAATCTAAACATGTTTCGACTCCACACAGAGATGTTACAGGTTCGCATCCCGCCGAGGTTTAAAATCTCTGTGACCATAAGTATGTTGTTGCTGTGTGACTGATCGTATTTATCTCATACAGGGAGCTGACAATGACAGTATATCTGATTTGTACCATAGACTCTTAACTTTTTTTAAGCTAATACTACCCACCCCGAAATTAATCCAGTTTATATTACCAAAATAGCTCCCCCCTCCTCTCCCCTCTCCCCACACACTCATTTCTGTATCCCTGTTACGCGCTAATAAAACCATAGAAAGCGCCCCTTTTTAAATTACCTACACCGAATTTCAATCTGGTATACACATTTAGAACCTAAACAAGTTAAACTGTTAAACACAATCCTAATCATATTAAGACCTTAACATGTCAAAATTATGGGACAAGGAACATGTTTAAGTTTGTGTTTAGGATCTAAACACAATTTTTACAGTGTACAAAAAAGGACGGAAACACGATTAAACATAATTGATATATTTTTCTTGAGACTACAGGTTGATTGTGGTTGTTTCAACAAAATAATTTTGCATGCGTCCAGAGTACAGTCGATATAGCCCTTCGTGGATTCGAAATAAAGGAGAATGCGCGTCGTTAGATGTATCATGTCTTATAACCCTCTGTCATCATTCATTTTTGTAGCAAAAAGATACATATGTTACGAATAAAATACGTCCATAGTGTTTGATGTTTGACGGTTAGAGCGTAAACATCAACGCCAGAAAATAATCAATCTATTATCTTCCGAAACAGATTCCAATGGACAGTAAAAGGCAAAACAGCGATGAAAATAATATAAATGGATGATTGAAAATCAGTGATGACACCAGGTGTTCGCGAAAGGCTGACCACCCATCCCCATTTCAGACACTTTGGGCCTGAAATCTCCACTGCGTTTTACTTAAACACTCTTTTAACCGCTTAAACCGCTTTTAAAAGATGTATATATTTGTATTATATATTGAATCTTCACATGCATTTACACAGCATGGATATACACAAACAATAATAATATAGCAACGAGGTTAGAAGAAGCTAGAGTAGATATATTCACTTACACATTTGGAGCGTGAAGCGTTTCTGGTAAACTTTCTGTTAAGCAGAGACCATAGATATATATCGCTGTGACATTTGAGTGAAATTTGCTATGCTCTTCTGTCACACAATTTTGTTACATGTTCATTGTGCATGTGTTACAATTCTGTTTACAGACTTGGGGAAACAAAATACTTGGAGTTATGACGTGGATCATCCCGTTTTTTGTCGTTCTGTCCTGCTTCGGCGCAGCCAATGGGTCGCTGTTTGCAAGTGGGAGGTAGGCTCCGTCGCCCATAGGTTGGCTGGTTGGTTGGTTGGTTGGTTGGTTTGTTGGTTAACGCCGCACTCAGCAATATTCCAGCTATATTACGTCGGTCTGTAAATAATCGAGTCTGGACCAGACAATCAAGTGATTAATATCATGAGCATCGATCCACGCAATTGGGATCGATGACATGCATCAACCAAGTCAGCGAGCCTGACCACCCGATCCCGTTAGTCGCCTTTTACGACAAGCATAGTCACCTTTTACGGCAATCATGGGTTGCTGAAGACCTATTCTACCCCGGAATCTTCACGGGTCCGCCCATAGGTTCTACCGACAATACCTTTACTGAGCAAGTGACCCACTGACTGGGGGATATGCCATCCTTGTCGTAAATACACCGATGTTTCATGGTTACTGCAGTTTAACTGCTCGTACATATGTTAGGTACGGATCGGTACCCCCGTGCTTTTGTTTGCGCCGGTCGCCATGTTGGAACTCTATTTTCAGAATATGTTCAAGATATTTAATATAAAAACTTCTAAATAAGTAACTATGCATATATAAGACTAACGAAAATTAAACACAGATGAACAGATAACGCACAATCTGGGCATTTCCTATATTCGCAGCCGAGTCTTCATTGCGGTTACGGAAAGAGGCGAGATTTGCCGATTGCCCTCATTCATGTTTAAGACAAATGTTAATAAGGTTGGTGTGTTATTTTGTTGCCAGATTGTGCTACGTGGCGGCAAGGGAAGGGCATCAGATGCAGGTGCTGTCCTTCATCGATATACACCGACGGACGCCAGTCACGGCACTTATATTTACGGTAAAACCTCTTCGTTATATATCAATATATAATTTCAGCCGAGGCAAACACTGCTACTCGCGGAGAAGCCACACACTGTAAAAGATGTGTTTAGAATGTAAACACATAAAGACACATTAAGGTCTAAAAATGTTTAGGAATGTGTTTAAATAGAATACATATGTGTGCGTGGCTTTGTGGAACAAGGCCTACCAAGAAGAAATTGAACCAGCGAAATATATACTCACGGATAAAAGTAACCGTGCTTCATATAAACCTGTGTAAATGTTATGTTTTTGAAAATGATAACAAAATATTTTGGTAATTTTTTTGTCAGTGTTTTATCAAAACAATTTATTGACAAAACCTAACCCTGGTAGAAATCGACAGAGCGACACGATCTGAAATAGGGGCGGTGTAACAACTCAATTAACAATGTCAGTATCTGGTATGAGGCGAGGCAGCTGCGGCGCATTGAAGATACCAGATGTTTGAACATCCTGGGGATGTTGTTCCAAATGTCGACCAAAGATTGGCCCAAATAAGCTAGTGTTATCGGCAGGTTCTGGTCCTGTCGTTGGCGTCGCACTATCCCATCCAAGGCATGTCCTGTGGGGGAGAGGTCTGGAGAAACAGCTGGCCATGGTAGTACAGCAATGTTATGTTGCCTCAAAAAGCATGTGCAACACGTGGACGGGCATTACGTGACGTACATCCCTGCATTTGCACAAATGGTAGAACATGAGCACCTGTTAGCTAAACAATAATTGTTGTTACATTAAATAACCACGTGTGTAAGTACCATACTCCCAACAAACACACAAACATGCAAATTGTGCGTCATGCAGTAACATACACGTGCAAATTATAAATCACGACCCTACAACCCAAGATATGTACTTCATGAATATGAATTGAAAGATGCATTACTTTTTTCAGAATTTTATTTTTATAGAACTTTATATGAATCAAGGTTACTTTTTTGGTGTTAGTATGGCTACCCAGAGTTTGGCCATGGGCGTAAATATTTCTACTCAGGTCGGCTGTATAAATAATGAATAACCCCTCAAGAAAAAAATATATGTGTCAATGTAATGCGTGTGGATACTGGTAAAGTGATTATTGATACATTGACTACATTCTATTGCAGACAGCTATGGGCATGCTGATGATTCTGCCCAGTGATCTCAGTAGCCTCATCGACTTCTTCGGGTTTGCTGCTTGGCTGTTTTACGGTCTCACCTGTGCTTCGTGTATAGTACTACGCTTCACCCAGCCAGACCTGCCGCGGCCCTACAAGGTTGGTGCTCGTCCACACTACATACAGCCACGCTTAGTGAGAGAGTGACTGAGTGAGGTTTTACGCCGCTTTTAGCAATATTCCAGCAATATCACGGCGGGGACACAACAAATGGGCTTCACACATTGTACCTATGTCGGGAATCGAAGCCGGGTCTTCGGCGTGACGAGCGAACGCTTTAACCACTAGGCTACCCCCCCCCCCCCCCCTAAATGAAAGAGTAATTACAAGTTATTTCATTTTTTCAGTTATTTGACGGTCTGTCAGCTAAATGTGGGAGAAACGACCGTGGTGTTCAAACCCATAAACAAGGCTTGGTGCCGACAAAGCAGGGATCATAATATAGGATTCGAACCCACTCTCAGCGGATCCTGTCACAGTTTTGTATTCAACTCTCTGCACTTTGCACGTTAGGTCAAGAAAACTTTGATTCATAACCAAAATCATAAGCATGAACAGTTTGTTCAAGCAAATGTTTCCCGTAAAAGTATGTATCAAATTTTACCTTGAATTAGAAGAAAAAACAATTTGTCTATTTTTCCGATAGTTCCGAATGTAGTATCTGGATCGGTACCAATAGATGTTCATAGTTGCTGCGTTTTAACGTAACATACGCAAATGAATGTATCATTACCCAATTAAGTTAAGTTGCTTGCGTACAAATACTCATTAAAATAAAAAACAAACGCAATCATATGATGATCCAGAGTGGCCTCTTCAGATTGCATAAGTGGAATTTCCTTACCTTTCTTATTTGTTTATAGAAAGTAGATAAACGTGAAAAAAAAGACAGTTTAAACTCGAAAAGAGTCGCCGAAACACTACAAACTAAAGGTCGAAAACACAACTCTGATACCCGTATGAAATACATCACCATCGAATAACCATTCACTTATGCTCATGATATTAATGACTGGATTGTCTGGTCCAGACTCGATTATTTACAGACCGCCGCCATATAGCTGGCATATTGCTGAATGCGGCGTAAAACAACAAACAGTCAAACAAACAAACATTGTTTGTTTTATTTTAGTCACTATCAAACAAAGATGCATTATTTCTTTTGCCCGGCAGTTTATCTCAAAACGTAGTTAATATTACAGGGGTATTTTAAAAACAATGTCTTTTCATTATCATTGGTTTTAAAATACCAAATAAACTAATAAACTTTGAAAGACCAGAAACACCCAATGCGAATGATTAGGTGTGAGTAAATACTCAATGGCTGAAAATATATTCGGGATCGCTGTCAACATGACCTCGCCTAATACTACAGGACCCGTGAAGATCCGGGGTAGTATAGGTCTTCAGCAACCCATGCTTGCCGTAAAAGGCGACTATGCTTGTCGTAAAAGGCGACTAACGTGATCGGGTGGTCAGGCTCGCTGACTTGGTTGATGCATGTCATCGATCCCAATTGCGTGGATCGATGCTCATGATATCAATTACTGGATTGTCTGGTCCAGACTCGATTATTTACAGACCGCCGTCATATAGCTGGAATATTGCTGAGTGTGGCGTTAAACATCAAACCAACCAACCAACTAATGTTACAGGTTCCCATCGTCGTTCCTATCCTGGTGGTGTTGGCGTCAATATACCTCGTCATCGCTCCCATCATCCAGGATCCCCGGATGGAGTTCTTCTACGCTCTGCTGTTCATCGCCAGCGGATTGCTCTTCTATTTCCCCTTCGTCTACCATAAGTGGTCTCTACCCGGTGTAGGTACGTACAAGCCTCGCTCTGACAATCACATAACTATCTCGGCCTTCATTGAGGAGATTCCATATTGGAAAAGGGAGTTGGATGTGAGTATATCGCGATGTCAAATTGTATTCATAATTAATATGAACCGTAAACATTTTTTTTCTCAAAATCGGCTTGTACGAGATATTGGTGGAGGAGTCGGTCAGTATGCGGTTCATGTAAAATCATGCTACATCACTACTGCACTGCTGCTCGAGGTGGTATGCAGGTACCCATATTCCCGAGGAAAGAGAGTTAACTGACCATAAAAGTCCAGTTTCCACCCTTGCCGAACTAGGCTCATATTATGGAGTTTCATTTTGGCTGGCCTAATGAGTCAATGCATAGTCCAATCAAAATCGCGCACCGAAATCGAAATCCGGTTCGTAAACTGTCGTGCAGATTTCGGTCGATTGCAGGATTTGCAAAGCGTGTGCACCGCCAACTCGTTGTCAACAGTTATTTTCCAAATCTTTTCATGTTTTTAATCAAGGTGCTCACATGATTTGATGCATTTCGCGATGTAAGACCCGTTATATAGATTTTGATTATCGATCAGATCGTCTTGACTGGGCGCCACCATTTTGGGTGAAGCAAACGCAAGTGATACGAGAGGTGGAATCTCATTGGTCCATAGGAGAGGCTTAGAGGGGACATAAATGGTTATAGTCACTGGTGGCGCTACGATCGAGCCCAGTAATTCCAGCCTAGTTCGGCAAGGGTGGAAACTGGACTTTTAAATTCAGTTAACTCTCTTGCTTCGGGAAGATGGCAGGTACCCGAATCATCTTTTCATCTATTTGAAGTTATCGCGTTAAATGAGGAATCTGTGAATCCGTCGTTGTGGAAAGTGGAAACTTTAATGTGCTTGTTTTGTGGCTTTATACTAGTGATCAAATGTTACATAACGCAGCGCACGTAAAATATATTGTTCCCCGTGATGAGGTGTAGCTACAGGTCTTCGGAATGACAGCTATATGACGTCGACCTGTAAATAATTGAGTCTGGACCAGACCAGGTTTTGGTTGATGGGGTGGGAGCTTCAATGTTTTAAGTTATACAAACTAAAATTGTTCATCAGACAAGCTGGATGTTCTGAAAATAATTATGGCTCTTCTTTTCTGAGAAAAAGTGTCTTGAAGCGATGACTAACAAAATATGAAACCGTCTCAAACAAACATCCCAGTCATCACCCCCGTCGCCATAATAGTCAGTGGTAGCTCCCCATCTATACTGTGCCTCTATGGAGTATAGAGACCGGACTCCTTCCATCATCTTCACGAGTCAAGGGAGTTAACTGAAAGTTTAAAAGTCCAGTTTCCACCCTTGTCGAACTAGGCTGGAATTCCTGGGATTGTAGCGCCACTAGTGGCTGTTACGAGTTATGTCCCTCCTATGTCTCTCCTATGGACCAATCAGATTCCACCTCTCGTATCACTTGCATTTGTTTCAAACAAAAAGGCGGCGCCAAGAGAAGACGATCTGATCGACAATCAAAATCTATATTGTGATAAAACGGGTCTTACATCGCGAAGTGCATCAAATCATGTGAGCACCTTGATTAAAAACCTGAAAAGATTTAGAAAATAACTGTTGACAACGAGTTGGCGGTGCACATGCTGTGCAAATCCTGCAATCGACCGAGCTCTTCGTGACAGCTTACGAACCTGATTTCGATTTCGGTTTGCTATTTTGATTGGACTATGCATAGACTCGTTAGTCCAGCCAAAATGTAACTCCATAATACCAGCCTCGTTCGGCAAGGGTGGAAACTGGACTTTTATACTCAGTTAACTCTCTTGCCTCGGGAAGATGCCTTTCATTCAATAAATAATCTTCCTCTACTTCGATGTCATGACAAAGGATCACTCAGTTACGTCCTGGCGGCAGTCCAACATATTGACCATGTATAATTCCCCTCTTGGTGGGAACAATGGCGTTTTTACTTTATGCGTAGGGATAATAATTAATCAGCAGGTCAATAGTGCAGCTTCTGTGGTAGAGAAACAGGACGTGTGTATAAAGAGATAATATTGTTTATCTCTTTACATCGCTGCACGCGGTCACGCTCATGGTCCGTGACCGCGGTCGTGACACTACGTAGGCGTGAATAGATATGTATGGTTATAGCTTTGTAAAAGGTTAGAACGAGCTTTCAAAACTAACAGCTCCACTGACCATAAATAACTTATTGAATCTGCTAGACTGTTATGGAAAGAACCTGATTTGTGTCGTTTTGTGTCTATTGAATGAGAGCCGTCGCACCATGGAGGAACATCCATGGGTTTTCTCCCACAAGGACAATTGACACAAAAAGTGTACCACTATCAACTCAACGAACGAACGGGTTAATCTTTTACCTCAGGAAATCTGTATTTGCAGCACGTTCGGTCCTAAATTTAATTTAACGTGATTAAATCTATAGGTAGCCTCTGCATTGAAAACGCAATATGTTTATGAATAATGATTAATTATTTTATCTTTTCAGATGCATTCACGAGATTTGTACAAATGGTGTTTCAAGTGGCACCTTCACACTCAATACACGACCACTGACGGCCTTTAGTATGTGGTGCAGAACACGAGAGTATAACTGGGTAAAGGTCAACGCTGGATGCTCACAGAAGCAAATCACGTTCTAAGCTCTTAAAGCACCAAGGGCGTGGATGACTATTTCAAAACATGTCCACACATTACGTAGAGACACAGACAGCACGTCCGCCTGGGTCACCTGTCTCTTCATTCAGTTTCCATGACAGTCGTTCATGACAGTACTCATCACCTGTTAATATGCCATTTTCCTCACAGTTCGAGTCATGTGTCATTACTCGTGTCAAATTTATGACTGATTGTCGGACTTATTATTCAGCGAATCGATGTTAATCAGTCTGTCACCGATATCAGTGAAATGGAACACGGGGCTGATGTAACATTGACCTTCTACGAATACAACTTTATGACGGTGTGGGATTTATATCGAAACGTCGCTAAATGCAATAAACCAGAAGTTGTTATCCATAAAGTTGTACGTTTTGTCATTTTGGGATAAACAAATATTGTATATGGGGCAATGTCAATTGAAATTTATGCTGATGTTCATCCGTATTCAACCGGAAGGTCGGACTATCAATGTTGACAAGTGTTTCAAGACGGTTGGGCAGTGAGTGAGTTTGGTTGAACACTGTCAGTATTCCAGATATTATATTACGGCGTGTCAGCTTAATGTTAGAGGAAAGCTCGAAGTGATGCAAGTTTCGGACGTTCACACTCCCCCCCCCCCCCCCCCCCCCCCCATCTCCATTCGTTGACTACTATTACTGTGCATTCCTTCAATGAGGTTCAATGCAGACCCGCCAGCAGTACCCCTCTCCCCGTTTCCATCAGTGAAAACTTGCTCTATCATCTGTGCATCGTCAACTTATTTGTAACCTTCATCGGTCGATCCCTGTGAACTCGATTGTTCATTAGGATGTGGTGCCAGGATGGTGACACAGCGGCAAAGTGTCAAAATACAGCTCCAGTGCCTTACACCAGGAGGACTTCGACGTCGATATTGCTATGTGCCTTCAAGTTTACTTATCTGCTGTCAACGAAACGTGTTGAAAAGAGACCCCTTCATTCAGAATGAAGAATATACAACAAAGAATAAAATAAACACACAGAACACATAAAACTAGTAGGTGCGATGTCTGTTTTGTTGAATGGTTACGGTAGCCCAACAGTATTACCATCCTCGATAATCCAGATATATCTCCATTTTAGTTTGATAAACACCCCAGGCCGATTCTCTACTATACAGTAAAGTACGGTTATAACGAACTCAAAGGGACTACTTATTTTAGTTCGTTATAACCGTAGTTCGTTATAAGCATATATACAGCATAACTACAGCAAATAGTCGGGACCAAAAAAGAAAGTTCGTTATATCCGTCAGTTCGTTATAAGCGTTTTCGTTATAACCGTAGTTTACTGTAGTTTGTTTTCGGAAGAATTCCTCTCGTTCACAAAAATATGTTGCTTGTAAGGCTATTTCAGCGTCATGCCATTCGAATCAGGCTCTGTACCAAAGCGAAGCTATGGTGACGTAGGGATCAAGGGCTTTTATAAAAATAGAATGGAGATAATCCACTGGATAATCGAGGATGATTTATAACTCGTTTGTTATTTTAGAAATTCTCTGATTATCCTTGACATGTATTAGTAGTAAACAGTTGTTTGTGTTTTATTCTCATCTTGTATATATGCATATTGTTGCATCTCTTTCAGAGGGGACCCCAGGCAGAGCAGGTCCTCAGTGTCTCATACTTGTAACAACCGACTTCAATGGGTTTAGGCTGTAATCTTTCTGGTTTTTGTTTACCGTTCTCTTGTCAATATCCGCTGGTCTGGATTAGATCAGTTACAAACCGTCGTCATGTAGCTGTAACAGAAAAAGGAAGTATACACTTAAAAACATGATTTTACCAAAGTGAGTGAGTGAGTGAGTTGGGTTTGACGCCGCTTTTAACAGTATTCCAGTTATATCGCGGCGTGTTAGCTTAATGTGGGAGGAAAGCCCGAAGTGATGCAGGTCTCCGACGTTTACCACTTTGGTGAAACCCACGAGCTGCGGGTATGGTGCTGACAAACCTAGAAACAAAAACAAAAAACACAATCATAGGTTTCTGGCGTGCCCAAGGGACGCAACTCTGCACAGCGAATCACGGCGCCTTAGACGACTGGGCCACCCGTGCCCCTGATTTTACCAAAACATTACAAACGTTATCAAAGCGTCTCTGGGCTGAAAACAGTCGCCGAAACACTCCAAATACATCAACATCGAAGAATAACAATTCATTATTCGTCTCATTAATAGCCGCCATCAAACATGGGTGCATACTTTCTTTTGCACGGCAGTGTATGTAAGGTTTAATAAATGATTACCACACACTATCTGCTTTTGTCATTCTTGTACAACATAGTGGCGGTATTTGTTATATTCGTATATTACTTCAGAGGTAATATCTTTTCAGGCACAAATTCATTACATGAATCTGTTCTTTGAAAGGAGAAGTTGAAAAGTTCATGTTTTTATTCAAAACATATTTTTTCAGCTAACAATTCTTTTGTTCGCTTGAGTCAATATATTTTTTTCTGGAAACAAATTATTTAAAAACAAACCCAAGCTTAATGACTGAACGATTCCTATTATAATGATGAAAATATATCATTATGTCTTTGCCGGTGGATGTGTGTGTAAGTGTGTTAATGTGTGTTGGTGGGTGAGCGAGTGATTGATTTTGGTTTAACGCCATTTTGAACAGTATTTAAGTCATATGGCGTCTTCAAATTTTAATATTAGATATAGTTTTGTGTGGAAAATCACCAGGACATTTGACAAACAGTAGACCCAAGCCAGAAAGCAAGGGAAGAAATAGGAGTAACGCTAATGTGCAGTGGTCGCGTTACAGTTACAACAAGAGTTTGCCACTAACGTGGCTATATCCCCCGCCCCTGTTGCAGAATTTATGACATAATTAAATCTAAACAAACCCTAACCTTTTTTAACCGAGGTGGAACTTGTCATGGAAATTGTGAAAAAAAGAAGAGTTTCGAACCTAAGTCCATCTTGTTCCCATGGAAACGTAAAAAATAAAAATTTCTAAAATGTCTAAATAGCAAAAGGCACCAATTCAGCATGTACTTGACATACCTGCAAAGTTTCATGAAAAAATATTGAACGGTTTCTGAGTTATGCTCCGGAAACGAAACGTGACGGACGGAGCCCGTTTCAATATCCCCCGCCAACTTTGTTGGGCGGGGGATAATAAATCGCCTCAACGGACTTTGAACACAGAACGTCTGTCTGGTCAGCGGAAGATCAGTGGTTCGATCCCCAACCTCGTCATACTAAAAGACATTACACTGACCGAAATTGTTTGTAAAGTTTACTAACTAATTTCACTGTCCACTCAGACACTAATATGTTAGTAGACTTTACTAATAAGTTAGTATTGTTTTAACTAGGTGGCTTATAGACACTAACTTAAAAGGTTAAGTAGTAATCAGACAAAGTAGACACAATTTATAAATAACAATCTCTTTACTTTACTGTAATGTCCTTATACCGATGTCAAGCAAGGCGGAACATGAACTGTGTACAACATATATGGTAGGTGGAGGATAAGCAGTAACAGCAAACCTGAAACAGACAGAAACGACAACAACACCTCCGCCAAGTCTTCGCTCATCTCATCAATTATCCACCACAAAGTCATCTCCACTGTATTCCAGCCCACACCCAGATCTACGACCTCCAAACCTGAATCAGGGCCCTCCCGTTCACTGAAAAAACCCCACATCATCAGCCGCCTCCTCAAACAGCAAGCCTGTTTCCAGGGTATGAAACTCCCCAAAATTTCAGCCAGACCACAGGACTGGCTAGCTGAAATACTTGCCAGCCCTGACCAAAACCTGCCTGCCCACTATAATCATATGTTTCTCAGGATAAGCTAACGGGGTTTCTTTTTGGTTACATTTTATCATTCATCTTTACATGTGAATTAATGCTTATCATTGGGAAATATTTAGAATATTTTCACATATGAAATATAACCTGACCGTCGGGCTGGGGGATTTGAAAATCTGGCAGCCCGAGTTGAAATCAACCCGTCTCGGACGGTCGGGCAGGCAGGTATTTCGAACACTGCTGTTTCAGTAAACTGCATATCATTAGGCAATAAGACAAATATGGATAAGATGTATAATATGTATTGTAATTTGATGTGCAAAATAGATTGACGAGCACTCGCATAACACATATACAAACAAGACTGCCAAAACTTGATAGAACATTAACATAAAAATGTACAATTTAACCAAACACGGTTGATGGTGACTATGAAGATTGGCATTAAAGGGCGGTGTTAACATTTAGACCCTAAACACGTTTATTTGTTAAACACAATCCTAAATATATTAAGACATTTGACACATGTCAAAATTATGGGACAAGGAACGTTTGTGTTAAGGATCTAAACGCATTTTTTACAGTGTGGAATCTGTTTGAGAAACTGATTATTCTCATGCGTTGACGTTTTAAATTTACCACAGAGTATTTCGAGCAAGAGTACATTTGGGTGATAAAGCGTATTTAATGGGATAGGACGAACTAACATGAAATAAAGTATGCAACTAACCTCTTAATAACCAGCGAGACTCTTTCTTATAAACGTATTCATTCATATCCATTCATATATTCATATATTCAGAGCTTAACGGTTTAACGTATGCGTGTGTGTGTGTGTTTGTGCGTGTTTGTGTGTGTGTATGCGTGTGTATGCGTGCGTGTATGCGCGTGTGTGTATGCGTGCGTGTGTGTGTGCGTGCGTGTGTGTGTGTGTGTGTGTGTGTGTGCGTGTGTGTGTGTGTGTGTGTGTGTGTGTGTGAGAGAGAGACTGTTTTAACTAATCCGGACTGATGCCGATTTAAAGTGCTAGCCCACTGAGATACCATGCCGCAGTTTAAACATGGACCCCCCCACTCAGTCGACCAGTCCTTGTTTTATCCCCTTAATGCCGAGCGCCAGACAGGGTAACAACAAGTATCATCTTTTAACGTCTTTTGGTGTGACGCGGCCGTGGATCGAACCACGTACCTTCAGCTCTCCGGGCGGACGCTCTACCACTAGACCACGGAGGCGGTCCCCTGGCGATTGAGAAACCATATCAGTGTGTGTGCTAGTCCGGACTAATGCGGATTTATAGTGCTGCAGTTTAACATCGACCCCCCACTCAGCCGACCAGTCCTTGTTTTATCCCCTTAATGCCGAGAGCCAGACAGGGTAACAACAAGTACCGCCTTTTAACGTCTTCCGGTTTGACGCTCTCCGGGCGGATGCTCTACCACTAGACCACGGAGGCGTTCCCTTCGCTGTTATGGCAATGGGGTGACTATTTATAGCCAAGTATAATACTGAAACTGTTTCTAATGAACATGCAACATCATCTGAAGTCAGGTTTGCTGGTGACTGAGTGAGATTGGTATAACGCCGGTATGAACAGTATTCAGTGTCACGGCCTGACAGTTTCATGTGGGAGGTAAACTCGGACTGATGCAGGCCTTAGACGTGTGCCACTTTCGTTAACCCATGGGCACGATATTGTGTTGACAAACCATGAAACATAATCAGGGCGAACTGGGATTCGAACCCAATTTCATAGACTTCTGATATACCTAAGGGACGTAACTCTAAGCAGCGAATTGCGGCGCCTCAGACGACAGGGCTACTTATGTCACGCAGTGTTTCTGTGAGAAAAAAACGACAAGCTGAGCCAATAGGAACCGAGATCCCGATGTGTTTTGAAGGCAGAGTGAGCCATGTTACTCGATACACTATAGACGACCATATCGTCTCCTTTTATCATATCATATCATATCACCTTTCTCTCAAGGAGAACTCCCCTCCCCTATTCTCCCAAAAGAATATAGTTACTATGGGTAAATTGAAACCGTTTGAAATAATTACAGTCATCAAGAAATAATCGAAATCATTTAGGATAAGATTAACAGATTTGATGGTAAATGAAAGAAACATTATGTCCAGGGATTGTAAAAAGTGAAAAAGGATAGTCATGTGTCATTGACGCTAAAAGGCAGGTTACTATACAAGAGGGTGATGATGATGATGATGGTGATTATTATCATCATCATCATCATCATCATCATCATCATCATCATTATTATTTACAGATTTAAAAAAAAATGCAGCAAAGAGGGTTTGGGTAATACTGGCACAGTCAGGCTGGATAGGCTCTTCTCCCAGGAAGCGCTGCCTAGTCAAACCCAGCCAGAACTTTTCGGAGAATGTGCAGACTCCCCAACACTGCATCCTTCTGCATTACCCACATTGTCAGAAGGGCTGTATTCCGGGCAGCAAACCCGGGTAGTCTTCCAATGTCAGTCAACAGATTGGGAGGTACCAAACCTAAGGCACCGAGAACAATGGGGAGTCGGACAACTTGGTACCTGGGATGCAAGCGTGACTTTTTCGAAAGCGAGGTCCGCATATTTGCCAAGTATGACCCTCTCTACATATTTTGGGTCGTACCATGGATGGACCTCTGTGTCAAAACCACAAGCATGGCGAAGACGGTAATAAAACGATCGAGCCACTCCACCATCTCGCTTAAGATGCTGTGTTTGTGCCAGAGCTGGGCATCCCCTGACAATGTGTTGGACAGTCTCCTTAAATTCATTGCATAATCAATATTTCATATTTCCATTTTGATGCAAAATCACACATGGGAAGTGACTGGTCCTGATCAACAAACAGAAAGCCTTCTGTTTCACTTTTCAGGCCAGTCGACTTCACCCAAGCGAAGGACTCTGCAGGGTTGCTGATCTTCTCAACGCACTACACCTAAACTCGATGCAGGTGTCGTTCAGATAGCCTCTCCCTAAAAAACTGAGTCTTGGCCGATTTGATATGGCACTTCGCTTGGTTGACACACATTTCTGTACCGTCCTGCACTGACATTGAGAATATGTTTATTTGTTGTTATAATAATTATTAATAGTATCGAATACTGTTATTTAGGTTCCACTTTGCTACTCAGTAAAGAATTGCTCAAAATCAAAATAATGCTTAAAAAATTGATATAGTCGCAAGAGTACAATAGTACTTTTCATCATGGAAAGGATTTTGATTTACATTATGTATACATGTAACATGAGATGGAAAAGAGTTTGTTTGTTTGTTGCTTAACGACCGCCTCCGTGGTCTAATGGTAGAGCGTCCGCCCGGAGAGCGGAAGGTCCGGGGTTCGATCCCCAGCCGCGTCATACCAAAAGACGTTAAAAGATGGTACTTGTTGTTACCCTGTCTGGCGCTCGGCATTAAGGGGCTAAAACAAGGTCTGGTCGGCTCGGAGTCAGTATACTGTGTCTGAGTGGGGTATTCATGTTAAACTGCGGCATGGTATCTCAGTGTGCTAGCACAGTATATCGGCATCAGTCCGGACTAGTACAAGCAGCCACACACATATACACGTGCATGAACGTCGCTATATAAGTGCAATATTCTTGGACGCGACGTTAAACCCCATTTCACCTCAACTCACCTCACCTTGTTGCCGAACTCCAATCTTCCAACTAGATGCTGGCGGTCTGTAAATGATACTTTCAATACTGTGAGCAAAGATCGGGGTAAAATAACAGGCAATCACCCAAGTCACCGAGCCTGATCATTCGATCCATTGTCGCCTTTTGCGGTGACCGACCGAAGAATGAACAAGTGTTTGTATATGTATCATCTCGTTTGAGATAATGTAATTTCCCTGCAAAACCCTTATCGACACTCCGTTTGTCTCGAACTACGGATAATTCGACATTTCTTCGATAGTCCCGAAAATTTCGAGTCAACGAGATTTTCTTGCATACACCATTTATCACCGACACACATACCGACACTGGTAGCACGGAGTACACGCATATAGCACAAGTAAGAACGTTGTGTTTAACGCTGCCTTGATGTTTACAACCTGTGAGACCAACAAGCACGTTTGTGGTGTTGACAAACCCAGGATCTTAATCAGCGCGAATCTTGTATTCGAACCCACGATCATAGGATCACGGCAGTCCCAAGGGGCGCAACTCCGGCAACATTGTCACTTGTACGCCTAGTCTTGAAATGTCTGGGGTCATCATTTGTACAATGAGGTAGAAAATATAGACCGTGGTTCGAGTAAACAAACTACCCATATCATTTGGTAGTCAAGTGCATATTGCATCATAGAGCCATAGAGATTATTTACAAAATGCCTGTGTATAAGGTAGTATGACGTAGTAGATCCAGTTACAATTGTGCATGGCATGTCACATTAATTCCTGATCAAAGACTCGGAGACTTATAGTGACACCCTTAAAAACACGGGCATAATACGCTGACGGATAATGGGCGTGAACTATATGCATTGCGTCACTGGTATGAATATGTTGATGTATGATGTGTTATGAAAACACATGTATTCAGTTGTTGAAATAAAGTGTTCCATATTGTGGAATAAATAGTCATATATAACGGATATTTGCTTGTGTGAGTCTAATCAATGTTAACGTATTGTGTTCGTGCATTGTCGGGACGGTATAGCCGCTAGACACGATAGTTCATAGTGTATTGTTGGAGCATTCAATTCATAACAATCCAACGTATGGGCGGGATTGCACTGCCTTGTGGCAGGGCTGAAATATAGTGCTGTTTTCGCGCTATTTCGTCATCCAATCACCAGGTGCTTTGGGACATAGGTTGCAGGTGTGTTAGGATTCCCACCTGTGAACATGCCAAGGTGAGTCATTGTTACTGCCCCATACACACGCCCAAACAATCATTCACATCGCTAGCTGAAACCAACCGTGACTGTAGTGACCGGCATGCTCCACAGCAGATGGTGGCATTGATGCAGACATTGTTACACCAACCAGGCTATGAGCTTCTCTGGACGTACCCGGCCATGTTTCGCTGACCGCTGTTCTACCCTGACCACAGGTTTCATTGAAAGGAATCACGTTTGTAGGTAAGTGTTTCTATAGCAATATATATTGTGTGTGGAGTAGAGATATGTATAAGTGGTACAATGACCGAGTTCAATCTCGGCAGACTTGTGGGTGTCAAGTGTCGCATGCGTTGTCGTCTTCACAGGACGCGTATACTTGTGTATGTTATTATTGTTTATGCTGGTTGCAGATTCACGTAGAGATCCTTCTTATTTATGATTGAATCTTGACTCAACAAATAAATTGCAAATATATACTCACAATCATACTGTCAGACGATATTTTATCATTCAATGTAAAAAAATGTTTAGATTTTTTAGTGTTTAGATCCTCCACAAAAACCTAAACACGTGTAAGTCCAAACATGTTTATGGCTGTGTTTATCAGCTAAACGTGTTCAAGGTCCGTATACTCCCGTATACCCCCCTTTGATACCTTGATACAAAAACCTTCTTTGTAGGTTATTTGAAAAAGCGGCGCTTTCAAAGGACTTTTAACGTTTAATGGGAATACACAGCTTTTGACTGGGGGTGGTACGGGTGGCGGGGTTGGTGGGGGTGGTGTGAGTGTTTAACTGAAAAAAGTTAATTTAAGGGTCTTCAGACATACTTTCATTTCAGCTTCCGTTTCCTGTATGAGAGAAATACCTATGAGTAATATAGCAACAACACATTTATGAACATGACGCTATATAAACCCCGGCGGGATACAAACCTGCATCCTCTAGATTTGTAATCATTCACGCTATCACCTTGCTACAGAGGCTGTTGTCGTCACAAATGTCAATTTGGTTAAGTTGTACATTTTTAGGTTAATATTGTATCAAGTTCGCTGTACGTCCTGGTGGTATTTGTGTTGTACAAGTGCCTGTGAATCTGATTTCACATTATGAGTACATATTACATCTTATCCATATTTGACTTATTCCCCAATGATATGCACTTTATTGTTTAAAGGTTGCGCTTAGGTGATGTTTAGGCTGGGAGATGATAGCTCATTTCATGTGTTTAGTCTTTAAACACGTTAGATAGCAAAAAAAATGTGTATTCCGTTTTGGATTTAAACACAATCCGCAACATGTATAGATTTCAACATGTTTTGTATCTACCCGGGGTTGAATAGGTCTTCAGCAACCGATGCCTGCCGTAAAAGGAGGCTATCCTTGTCGTTAGAGGCGACTAATGGGCTCGGGTGGTCAGACTCATGATTTGGTTGATGCATGTCATCGATCCCAATCGCGTGGATCGATGCTCATGATGTCAGTCAATGGATTGTCTTGTCCAGACCGCCGTCATATAGGTAGAACAGTGCTGAGTGCGGCGTTAAACAACAAACAAACAAACATGTTTTGTATCATGTGTTTACATTCTTGACACAATTTTACGATGTACACAGAGGTTACAGTGTGTTTTGGGTGATTAATATCCTGTAAAGGAATAAACAATTAGAGAGCTACATACATAGTGTTTTTTCGTAATACAGGATACCATCTCAAAACACACACTGTCATCTCTTCTACGTGGCATCTAAACATGTTTTTTTATAGAAACGTGGGCATTGATATATTACGTCAGAGAAACAGTGATTAGTCAGTCGGACACACACTCCGTCACAGTGATGACTTAGCATTAGGCCGCAAACAATAAAAACATAACAGGCTGATTTGCTTATCAAGTGACCAGACTTCTCTCTTGTTTGTGAGGGGGCACGGGTGGCCCAGACGTCTAAGGCCCCGCCCATTATGGGTTCGAATCCCGGTTCGCTCCGGTTATGTTTCTAGGTTTGTCAGCACAATATCCGTGCTCGTGGGTTTCACCAAAGTGGTCAACGTCTGAGACCTGCATAAATTCGGGCTTTCCTCCCACATTAAGTTGACACGCCGTGATAAAACTCGAATACTGTTAAAGGTGGCGTTAAACCCAACTCACTCACTCATATTATATTCATTATGAAAATTTTTGCATCATGTATTCATCGGGAAATCATTATCTGCTCAATATATATTCATCATGCAATCACTGTGTTCATTATATATTCATCATGCAATCACTGTGTTCATTATATGTTCATCATGCAATCATTGTGTTCATTATATATTCATCATGCAATCATTGTGTTCATTATATATTCATCATGCAATCCTAGTGTTCATTGTGCATTATATAACCAGTATCTGTTGATTATATCTCTTTCATATATCCTTTAGACATATATATTTATCATATATTCATTATATATCCATCATGTGTTCAATATATTTTTCTTCATTATATTCATCATATGTCCATAATAGGTCCTTTATATGTTTATTATATGTGACGCGCCAGGATAAAAGAGACCTTATGGGTGTTTGTAAACAAATGCATCTTTTCTGAAAGCAGAGCAGACCGGTCTAATGGAAACCTTTCGGTGGGCTTTACATATAATTTTGCATAGTTAAAAAGATATGTTACGATAACCGCGACAGCGAGGAGCATGACGCAATGTATTTTACACATGAAAGCTACGGGAAGCTCGGGCTTCGTACACACAAAGCCAACAATGGGAAAGAATACGCAAATGGAAAAGGTTTTTCACGTTTCAGGATATTTTCTTCACGAAAGTTCACCTTTTCTCGACACATGTTTATCTCAATGTATAAATTTAAATGAACTAGATTAAAAACATATGTCATTTGTTGGATGGACTGTGTAAGATGTGACGAGCGTACATCTCGCCACACTGGCTGACCGCAGGGAAATCTGAGTAGGAATGGAGTCAGACACAGACAACAGTCAATATAGTTCCAACTGAAACTTGTCTTTCGGACAGTGGCGTAAAATACCATCAAGGCATAAAGATTGTCTATAGATTTTTTTTTAACTTTGTCAGTGATCAACTTTCACAGCAATCCATCAGTCCTCCCGCTAGGGGCGCTGTCCTTTATCAAGATCCTCCTTGTTGGTATGAAATATTCGTCTTAATTATCAATCGACAGACTTATATTCTCCCATTAAGCTGAAATCTTGTTCTAACAAATTAGTTTCACTTGCGACATCAGCCGTGAAGATCCCGTTGGAATTGGCCTTCAAACAACCCATGCTTGTCGTAAGAGTACTAACAGTACCGGCTGGTAGGTGAGAGTTTTCTGGCGGGGGAGGGGACAATCGTCACTCGTTGAAAGAAAACGTGAAAGTCGGCTTGATGGTGTTCAAGTGACAATTCGTGGTCATTAAAAGAGGAAGAGAAGAAGGAGGGGCATTTCTAGGATTTTGAGGGGGGTCGGGTTGGGGTTGGGGTGGGGTGTGTGCTCAGTTTGAGTGACTGCTCCCTGCTAGAACTTTACCCTGACACCTCCCTACCAGAGCATAACCCTGACACTTCCCTACCAGAACATAACCCTGACAACTCCCTACAGCACATAACCCTGACAACTCCCTACCAGAACATAACCCTGACAACTCCCTGACATGGTTCATGCATGTCATCGTATCCCAATTGCGTGGATCGATGCTCATGATGTCAATCACCGGATTGTCCAGCACAGACTCGATTATTTACAGACCGCCGTCATCCAGCAATTTGGATGATATATTCTTTTGTGTAAGTAGATGTACCCATAAGGAAAGATCAGCAGCTTTATGTGCGGTTTTAAACTACAAACAAGCAAATCAGTACACGCATGCGTCACATACGTTATTATGAATAGAGAATATTTGCAGTTTCATTTGGTTGAAAAACATGTTTTTCCGAACTCGTGACTTAAATATGTAATAATATATTACATTTTGAATAACAATCGCAATGAATTCATAGTTGTAAATGAACTAAACTTTAAACTGGGAATAGGCTATTCAGTGCCGGTAAACACCGAGTCAGCTGTCGGGGTAAGTAGTGTTTCAGAAGTAACGGGGTCCGGACAAGGGAGGTTACACTGTATATGGTACGTGCGATCTGTACGTTGGTTTACTTTGTGATTTGTTAGAGGATGACAGCTGATACTGCGTAGTTGTAGTCAACCAAGAAACAAATATTTTGCATTCTCAAAATTGGTGATGATCAAGGTGATAGACATGGTTGTGTTACCATGCTCATCTATATAGTGTGTCATCAGATATGTATGTCAGCTTCCTTCGCCTGGACCGGCAACAGTGGGAGTATTCGAGCGTGCATTCTTATTCTCTTAAAGGGTCAGTGTTAGTATAAAGTTTCAGCTTTTTTCTGTACTATAAATACGTTGGGAGGGCTGCCCCAGGATACCGTATCACATATTTCAGGGTAGAGGAGATATAGGACCAGTTTAACTAGACATATTTGTGTACTTTTGCGGCCTTAATGCACCGCTCTCATTCCACTTTGTAGACATCCTACTGTAACAGTGTGTTGTTGTGTTTTGAAGTTGTGTGTGTTTTGGCAAGTTCATTGTTAATCAACAAATTGTGTCTCCTAATGGAAGAAAATGCAAAGTGTCCCACTCAAACCAAACACCCGTATCAAAAATCTCAATGACAATGGATCTGTAGGTTATCAGAGCGTACACAAAAAGCATATCATATTCCTGTCCTTCTGAAGGTGAAGATCCAAGGAGGCTTGTGGTATCTTTCGTTAACACATCCAAGGTAAGTGTGAGTGTAAATATGTTCCCCTGAACTTTGGTTATGGAGGAGTCGATATACCCGTGGATCAATATACCCGGAATGAGGACTGTTTTTCCTTCCCCAGGTCAACTTCTACATATGAATGTTTACACCTGGGATTGCTTCATCGCCATAAGCACCGCCGTGACATAATCCAGCCATTTCATGTTTATCTGGATTCCAAATCTATAATCCACTGATGTATTCACATCTGATTACTTTAATAACACTTTCTAAAAAATAATTCCTAATTTCCTTGATAATTTAGATTTTTAAAACATTTTCTTTGACGGCGAGGGGAAAATCAAATGGAGCTAATGACATTGAACAACATATATGTTTTGCCGTTTCATATTTTTACCTTTAAAGAAATAGCTGTTAACGTTACGCTCACTTCTTTAACA